AATACATATTGCTTATGGTTACTGATAAATCCGTTTAAATCCTTGCAATGCTTTCATTCAAATTTATGCTTGATATAAAAGTTCAAAAAATATTTAAAAATTTTCTACGGAAATTTTATGGTTTTCGGTTTATTTGAAAATGTTTTGTGTATTTTTTATTTCGCAAAAGTTTTTTAACTTTTTTTTTGGGAAAATAATTTCCCATGAAATGTGTGATTTCGATTGCATTATTTTGTCATTATGAAAATGTTACAGTGAATGTGCTTTGCATTGCATTGCATTGCATTGCCTTACTACGTGTAGTTGTAGTTGTTCTCTGCTGTGTGCTATGTGCTATGTGCAGTGTATGTTTATGTGTAGGTGTATGCATATGTGTATGTGTCATGAGTTTTACTGGCACTGCGGCAATTACATTTTTTTTATTTGATTTAACCTTTTTGCTTGCTACTGTTGCTTGCATTCGTTGGGCTGTGTTATGTTGTGTCTGTGTCATGTTTCCTACTAAGCAGAAGTTTTTATACATTTGCACGTACCAATTTCAATTGATTTGCCTCAATAATTGGAATCCACTGGTCCACTTGCTCAATGCCACTCATGCTAGCCATACTACCCATACTACCCATACTAGCCATGCTAGCCATTGTTGTTTATATATACTATTGTAATTTTTTTTCTCTTTATTGTGTTTGTTGTATTTTATGCCCTTCTTCTATCCTATGTTATGTTATGCATACGTTTGTTGTTTTCGGAAAATTCTTTTGACTTTGTTTTTTGTACTCCAATTTTCTTCATTCTTTTTGTGCTTTAGAATTTTTTGTTTTTTTCTTTAGAATTTTCTTTTTGTAAATTTATTTGCACATTTTTTGCGATTTTATGTTGCTCTCAATTAAGTTTTTAATCATCGAAATCCAATCAGACAAACATATACATATGCAATAAAATTGTCCATTTTATGTGCAAGGCATGCTTTGGTGTCACTTTGGTGCGGCACCGTTAGTATTAGTGTCAGTGCAGTATATGTGTGTGGTGAGTTTTATGCTTGTTTCCTTTACAGTGAACTTTTGCATGTATGCAGTCATATGCATAACAAGTGAAAATTTATAATCCGCCATTTGGACTGTGAACATTTGCGCAAAATTTTACATACCATTTTTCCGTTGAGTCTAAGTAAATTTACATGTTATGAATGCAGCATTTTCATTTCAATTTTCGAAAAAGAAAAATTTAAATCTATAATGAAAAAATGGCATAATACTTGTACATGGTATGAGTCCAAATTCTATATCAAAAAATAGATTTTAAAAGTACTTCGTTAGTTCCCTGCAGTTACAGTACAATTTTGCTTGTTTATTAATGTTAAAAAATCGGGTTCATTGTGATATTTTAGTTCTGCGAAATAAATGCAAGTATTGCAGAAAAAAATCAACATACTATTGCAACGTTCGAAAGCAGCTTTACTAAAATTTATTCACTTACTGCTAAAACCATGAGGAAATGTTGGCAACTCTGTGGATTTCAAATTATAATACAAATAAGTATCATTAAATGCTACTTGTGCAAATCCTACTTGAATATTATATAAAGATGAAATTAAAGTTTATATTAAAATGAAATTTTTTGTATAGAAATAGAAGCTTTACTAAAATACAGTAAGCCACTTGAATTTAAATTTCGAATTTTACAATTTTAAGAAACTTTCAATATACCATTTCATTATTATTATTACTATGGCTATTATTACTATGGGCTTCAGATTTATTTTGAGCTTTTTACGTATATAAATAATTTTTATACTATAAGATTACGCAACATTGCAACCATGACTGATCTGACCGGTGCTGGTAAATGACCGCAATGAAACATAATATACTTCACCCTTCTAATGGAAACTAAAGTACCAGTTGTTGAATATATCCCCACATCAGGAATAGTTAATTCTAGTAATCTTTTCCTGGTTCACATCAAAGCCGGACAGTCTGAAAGAAAGTATAATTCTCCTCCAAGCAAAACCAACATTCTGAAAGAAACACCTATATTATAAAGATAGTGACATAAGCCATGATAACCAGTCAGATAACCTGCCAAAAAAAATTTTACCCTATTCTACTAAAAAATATTAAAGATGTAGGCACGAACTGGCTCTTGAATGGGTGATGACCGGTTAGATAATCTGCCAACGAACTCAGTTTTGTTCTATTAAAAAGAGACGCCATAACACAGGTATAGCGACTAACCCTGTCTTCCGGCCGATAGTTACCTAAAGTGTCGCACCGGCAGTTCCTTCTTTTGATTACAAACTGCTTTTCTTTCAGAGATCTTATTACGAACCAACTTTTTCGCAATAAGGTTCTGGCCCACTGAATCGAATGACTTATCTAGTCTACTTAGGAGGAACGCCCTACCGCAGGTACGGAGACTAACCATGTCTTGCATTCGGTAGTTACCTAAAGTGTCACACCAGTAGTTCCTTCTTTTGATTATAAACTGCTTTTCTTTCAAAGATCCCAACTTATTGCACAATAAGATTCGGGTCTACTGAATCGAATGACTTGTCTAGTCCTCATAAGGACGACGAAAGGATTGTCCGCCGATTCATTGCCATTGGTTGTTGTGTGATCACGCTGTTTTTGCTTAGCAGTATGTCGTAGTACTCGAAAAAAATTCAAGACGAGAACTTGCACGACAATACTTTAACAGCTGTACCTATACAATCACATATAGGCGCCTTTTAACACTTTGGTAAGGTAAGATCACAGTAAGCTACATCCTCAGCGCGAACGTATTTCTAGAATTGGGATCGCAGACCTGTGTACCAACTTCTTCTTTAGATTAAGAATCGTTAATACACCTAGATAAAAGGTTAAGCTGCATTAATGGTGAGCCTTTGAAATTTTGATTGAAATCTTCATCTTCATATGAGACTTATATTATATAACCCATATTTAAGCACCATAAAGTCAGTAGGCCTCAATTATTGTATTATAAACATGTTTTTTTTTTCAATTATCAATTTCGATTTTTTTTACTAGTAGCTAGTATTACTCGCTACAGTAGTATAAATTATTATTTTTTTTAACATTTCCTATTAAATTTAAAATTAATGGTTATAACAAAATAGTTTATAGAATTAATTATATAATTTATTTAATTAAACATATTTTTTATAAATATAAAATAAAAAAATTTTATAAAAAAAAAATATATAACATATATATAGTAATTATCTAATTTTTTTAACTAAATCGTGAACCTTCACTGGTTTTCACATCTATCAAACGTCATCCCACTGGGTACAAATTTCAACGTAAAGTTTCTTCAATGAAACTTAAGCAGTTCAAAATCGGCACTTAAAGATACTACCTCGATTTAACTTGAAATTTTTTGAGTTACCATATAGTCGATGATCAGTTTCTGCGACGACTATTGATTCACAAGACGCTTGTATATGCCTCGATAGCCAGATAAACAGCCAGATAAAAATTGAAGCTCTTTTTTTTAAGTTTAGATCTTTTAGAATTTGCAATCCGTTTTGCTCATGCAACATCTCGAATGTTTCTGTCTCTAAGAGCGGCGCAGCATACACAAGCAGCTCAAGGTGCTTGGACTCATTATTACAAGATCAGCAATTAATGTTGTTGCGTATACAGTGTGACTTAAAAATAAGTGAATAATACTTTTCTCGAGTTGACTACACACGAAATGAGTAACGGATGTATTTGTTTATATTATGTATGCTACAATATCAGTCGTATATTATTTAACTTCTGGAACCAAGCAATTGTAAACCATTTGTTGAAACCTCTGCAGTTGTGACCTCTGCTTTTATATTATATTATCATGTTTTAACATTTTCGCTCCAGAAGTATTAGTAGAGAGTAAAAATGTTACACTATCTTTTGCAACTTTAAGACCACTTGCCGTTCTTCTCCGATTTAGCGATAAATGTTCGGTTAGACATTTTTTTGCAAAACAAACCAGTTTCGTCAGTATCAAATATCTGAAACATGTATTTATGATATTGTATGTATTGTGTTTCAAATTATAACAAACAAAAAAAAAACAAAAATCGTATAAAACATATTTGTATGTTTTACAAATTAAATATATTTGTGTTTTTAATCATTTCGAGCGTATAACTGATAGCAGCAAAAGGTTTTTAAAATCATTTTCGAGTCCTGCTTCAGGGCAAATCCGCTCATTTTGTTTACAATGATTGCTATTTAAAAAATATTAAAAATTTGTAGTGCAAATACCGATACATGAAACCTGATATTACATATCAGAAATATAAGAAAAAAATTTAATTCCTTTATATTTTTAATTGCATAATTTATGAACGTCCACAATTGGCCTTTGTATTCTTTTTTTTTTTTTTAATTTAAGCTACTTTTCGTTCTCATTAAGTGAAAAACTGTGTGAATGGCATTAAAAAACAAGCATGTAAAAATTGCCATTCTGCAATTTTTACTTTAAGTAACTTCAAATTGATTATGAAAAAATGCAGTAATTAAAACGATTTAAATATTACAAAAGCAATGGATATTATATACATTACAATAAATTCAATGAACACATACATAATAATGTATAAAGGCTGCAACAGGCAGTAAGCAGGAGGCAGAAGGCAGGAGGCAGCAAGTAGCATACAACAAACAGTAAACAGTAAATAGCAAACATAGCAAGGATAATAAAAGTTTTCAATTATGCGCATAAGTTAATAAACCCAAGCATAAAAATGGCGAACAGCAAATACCAACAACAACTGCAATGAAAATCCATACCATACAAAAGAAAGAAAAAAAATAAATAAATAAAAACAAAAAAATCATAATGCAAAACAAAAAAAAAACTTAATAATAATGAGAATAATACGCGTAATAAAAATAATGAAAATTGTAAAATGCACAATACAGTGCAGTGCACACAAACACACTCCCACTCATACTTACACTAAAGGCAAACAAACAAACCACTCTATATAGAAATAAAGTTATACTTACTGTACGATTATTAAAACATTCATGCCTGACAACATGACCATGGGCAACAAACAATACCCAAGCACTGACACCACAGCACCGAAGGTCACTAACGACTTCTCTGCCATTATCGAAAGCAGGCAATAGAACGCGATGCAGCCCATAACTCCAATACCATAAATATAAGAGAATGTCACTTTGCCACTCTGCACAACGTTTCAACAAAAGTCACAGGCAACAGAACAGCCAATGTATGGACCACAAGCAACAATGGTTCGTGGTGCAGGCAGCAAGATGAGAGGCAAGCAAGTAAATCATCAACAAAGTACATGAAAAAAAACAAAAAACAAAATAGGAAAATCAAATTAAAAGAAAAAAGTTTTTAATTAAAAATTTCACAAATATTGATATACACATACATATATATTTATAATTGCATTATATAGTTATTATTGTTTTTGTTTATTGTTGCGTTGTTTACTTCAATTATTTTAATTGTTTTTATTGCTCATATGAATGTGTATATTATACATTTTTTCTTTTGTTATATTATGTTACGTGCATACAATATATATATGCACGCCCACCTACCAGAAGATGAAAGCATCCTAATGCTAAACAAATGACCAATGGTCCTGCCATATCTGTATCTTCCAAAACAAATCGATCAGCTTCACGCATTGGATTAAGCACAGCAAGTATCTGTAAGAAGAAAACAAAAAACTACAAATTAAAAAAAAGAAAAATATATTTACACAGAAGTAATCTAGCAAATATTTTATATATTTTAACACGACAAAGACTTTCAGTTATTTGAACATTTTTCACAAATTATTTTGATATGATGAATTATTTTTCTTAAGTTTTTTCTTAAGTAAGAAATTTTTATGAAATCTTATTTTTTCATTTCAAATGCATTTCAAAAAATATTTTTATAATTGGACAGAGAATCACATCATTTGTTAAAGAATAAGGAACATTTTGGATAGTTTGACATTACCCTTTATCTTTACATATCTTTACTGATATCTTTACTCACTTTTCAACATATTCAATTCGTAGTGATTCTAGCATTAACAATAAATATTCACTCCCCCTTCACTATCTTCCAATCTCTCTAGTACATGCCAATGCTTTCTCTCTTAGATGAATCTAACTTACTAGGTATTAAGCCTATCTACTCTCTTCTTTCTTCCCCGTCTACTGGAATGCAGATTCCACATTGCTGTGGAAATCTTCTCCATTTATTCCTAAAAGGTAGTTTTAGTCGGTTCAAGTTTCGCACTGTGGCTTTCGATGCTTCATTTTAAATCAGAGAGACAAATATTTAAGAAGACAAGAATTTTAGGACAAGTTTTATTTACTTATGTGTTATTATATGTTGCAGCTAGTAGAGCAAAGACAAAAACACATAATTCTTATATGTCGTTGAATATCATTGTTTCTTGTTCAAAAATAATAGAATGTGTTTTTAAATATTGTGCAAAAAAAAAATAGTAAATAGTAATTTATATATTTTGAATGCTGATTTTAGTCATCCCCACAGATCACTCATTTTACTAGTTCCTTTGGACAAATTCATGTACTAGTGCCTAACGACAATTGTCTTCCAGAGAACTACTGGGTACTCTTAAAAAGGTGTTCATCATCTATGCATTCATAAAATTTTTGAAATGTATGCCGAAAATTTTCATTTTTTACTCATATTTACTCGTATAGGTTCAGTATTAAATTTTAAATTCAAACACATGTGTACTATACTTTCGTTGAATAAATTTTTAAAAAATATACTACAAAAATTATTGTATTTTATTCTTTATTTTGTTTTGTGATAAAACACAAAACCTGAAAATTTCAGGACGGTGTTATCCTTAAAGCATTTTTTAAACATTAATTTATCTTCCACCTCACATCAAACACAAACACCCGATTTTTTTGTAAAAAAAAAAAAAGAAAGAGGAATATATCATAAAAATTTTTATGTTTTATTTTTTATTCGGTTTAAAGAATAATTTTTGCTCAGAAAATAAATATTTCCAATGTGGTATTGTTTTTAAAAATATTTAAAAAAAAATTCATTTCTCAGGCACCTTGCACCACACTCATACGTACCATAAAAACTGTAAATAAATTTCCCACAAAAAACCACACAATGTTACTTTTTATTTCTGAATTGAATGTATCATTAAATTCTATATAAAATATTAAACATTTTAAATAAATTCTGCCTTATCTCTATTAAATCTATTAATTGTTCTAATATAAATATAGCAAGTGAATTTGTTAATAAAACTTTCACAGTAAATTAATAAAATTCCAGAAAAATGTGCGAACATAAAAGTCAAATACGGCTTTGGGTCAATTGGTCAAGGAGCGTTGACTCTGAGCTTCAAATTTGGCAGGGCAAGAGTTCGATTCCTCGTACTTACAGTCTCAAAAAATTATTTACGAATAATTAAATACAAGAATTATTTCCAAAATCAGCCAAAAATTCAATTAATTAAAATAATATAAAAATGAATTTTTGGTGTTGTAGTTCACTACTGTTCGTAAAATCTCTTCAAGTTATTTATGAAAACTATCTATTCTAGTGGATTTTACCAGCATAGATTTCATTAGCATATTATTCGTTTATAAACCGAAGAAAGATGTGTATGAACTAGCCAGGACAATGATAATATTTATTTAAGCTTAATTTCAATTTCAATTTTCTACAAGTTAAATTTTAATTGTGTAACGATTAGAATTCGCTTTTCTATAAGCATGAAAATATGTTCAGATGTTCAGATGTTCAGATGCTCAGATGCTGAGATGCACGTGTAGAATTGTGGGAATTGTGGAAGGTTTGCATATGTGTGGACGAATGAACAAAAGAATGGTTCTTTCATTTTAATAAACAAACAAATACAAATAAAATTTATGCACTTGTCATTTGTGTATGCCATTCTTGTTCATTTTCATTTGCGTGATTGTTGTTGTTGTTGCCGCTGCTGTCGTTGTTTTATTTACATTTCTATTTACGCTTGCAATTGTACTCATGCTTTTGTTTGCTTTTATACTTATTTATTTTGCAGCAGAAATACTGCTGCAAAACGTAGAAACTTAATGCACTCACACTGCTGCAAATTCTCAAAGCACATATATTTCGTAAAATATACGATCACACATACGCTTTAAACGAGCACTCTAAAGTGGGGTGCAGACTATCATACTGGTATGTCATACGAGAGAGAAAAACGTCGTATGACACACAGGTATGATAGTCTGCCACCTTTACCAACGTGTTGGCGTGCTCACCAAAATTTTGGTGAACAGCTCTCGCATACGCGTTGTGTATGATAGTCTGTCACCCCTAACGATTCATACGTCATACAAGAGCATTTTTGCCTTGCAAATTTATTGTAAGCAGGTGGAATATGTAGAATTATAATATAAATTTAATATGTTTTATATTATTTTATTATTAATGTATTTATTATTATTATTAAAATTACACTTATAAATTTGTGTTAAATATTTAATTGTATCTTAGTTAAAAAAAATATAAATTTTTACATAAAATTCTTATAAAAAATTAAAATACAATTAAATATTTTATGTAATATATTAAATATTTTGTTTAATTTATTAAATATTTTATTTTATTTTATTTTAATTTATAAACGATGATTATAAGTAAAATTTTTTTTAAAAAAACATCTAAATATAAACATCGTTAAATTTATGATCTAAGCCCAGTAATAAAAAAACATATTGAAAATTGGTCGTAATAACAATTAATTAATAACCCAAATTTAAGATATAATACTTTGTATTCTAAATATGCTTTTCTTTGTTAAAACTTGTTATTAAAATAAAAGAATTTTAAATGTTAATAACCTTTAACTAACAAATATATGGAAATGAATTAATTTCTTCAAAAACAATGAAGATATATACATTCTTATGTATATATATATATACATTATTTGTACATATGATCTATTTATGAAAAATTTATTAAGAAACTTTACAGGTAGTGAATGAAATTAACTACGGTCCTTTACTGATCTTTTCATTTTAACTACTGTGCTTAATGACCAATAAACCTAAAAAAAATATGAATATGGATGCAGATAAAGCATTTTTAGATGCTTTCATCGAATGTTAACAAAGGTAATCGCTGTTTGTGGGATGTTCAAAGCTGTGAATATAAAGATCGCAAAAAAAACGGGGCATATATAAAATATACAAAATTATAATCAATTAGAAGCAAAGCACAACCTATACGTTAACTATCAATTTTTTCAATTTTAAAATTTTATTTTAAACACACAAATTTTCACAGCACTACCCGCAAAAGCACTCTTCAAAAATTTTGCCTACTCTTGTGTGTCATACGTGTTCAAATTCGGACGCTAGAAGAAATTTGAGCAAGAGAGAGCGCAACTCGTATGACATACCAGTATGATAGTCTGCACCCCACTTAAATAACTCACACTCACACATACACATACACACACACGTTTTATACGTCAGCAAAATTTGAAATTCACATTTGAACTCATATCCCAACAGAAAATTTCAAAATGTTTTCATATTAAAAAAAACACATTTAAAATGGCGTAAAAAAATATGAAATGTCGAGTAAATGAAAATTTTTTTATTAATTATTACAAAAGAAATTATGAAAAAAATTAACCACTTTTTGTATTTTATTACATTTTTATTTTTTTGTTATAACAACTAATTTTCATTAACTTTACTAATTAAAGAGAAAAGTTCAAACTAATTATATTTAAATGAGTTTTTGTACATATAACTATATATGTATTTTTTTATATTTATTTAATGTTTAAATTAAGGATTAAAAACCTCAAATATACCATTAATTTGAATTATTACACTTATAACATGGAAAAAAACGTAGAGGACGTATAGTTATGATGATATGCAACGATTAAGCTATGTTCTTTTCGTTAAAACTCAACGATTAATTAATTGATATTAAATGATTGATTTTATTAAGAGGTTTTTCGAAAAGTAGTGAACTACAACAACAAACATGCTTTTAATATTATTTTATTTAATTGAATGTTTGGCTGAACAGTCGTCTTGGAAATAATTCTTGTATTTAATTATTCGTAAATAATTTTTTGAGACTACAAGTACCACGAATCGAACTCGTGCCCTGCCAAATTTGAAGCTCGAAGTCAGCGCAACTTAACCAACTGAACCAAAACCATACTTGACTTCTATGTTCGCACATTTTTCTGGAATTTTGTTAATTTGCTGTGAAAGTTTTATTAACAAATTCACTTGCTATATTTATATTAGTACGAAATCATAAACCAGCTGTATTGAATAATTGAATTATTTAATTATATTTTTTATTTTTTATTGTTAAATTTGAATACTATTTGTAGAGACATTATTTGTAGCATGATTGATTTTAATAAGAAAAAGATACATAATAAGCCAAAATTATTTATTTTAAATTTATAAGGGAAAACTGAGTGAAACATATTATATTATTTATTTATTTATATTATTCTTCAATTCAAATATTTATTCTTCAAAATTCAAAAACATTTTAAATTGTAATTTAACGTCTGTTTTGACGATAGTCACTATTTTACTTAATAAATAGAAACTATTGTATTTGTTAGAGAGGTTTCGAAAAGTAGAGAAATACAACATCAAAAATTCATATTATATTATTT